TGAAATTTTCTTTTGCACATTTCTAGCAAGTTTAACTATGCATGAAAAATACATGTGCTGTGAAACACCAATTAACCAAACAATACATTTATTCAAATAAAATGACCATTAATTAAGAAGGCATTGATTATCTATGAAGAAGATTGCTATATATTTTTATGAAGTGAATTAACTTGAAATTGACTGCGAAGTTGTAGCCTGAAAAATAAGTAGGTGTCTCATTTCTTTTGATTTTCTTAAGGTAAAATATATAAGAGTTATTTTATTTTATATTTAATCAGTACATAATATCAAATTTGATTTTTTTAAAATAAATTTTATATTTTCAATGATTTAAAAATTATTTCTATTTCTCATTGCACGACTTGCTTTAATATATAATATTCCAATATTTAATTCCTACATTTTTAGAAAATGGATAGATTTAATGAACAACATTTTAGTTTCTTATTTTAGCTAATAAATTATGGGAAATTTCAACGCATGCATGCAATAAAATGTGTCACTGTAAATATGCAGGTATATGAAAATCATATGCATTTAACCGCTTCCCTGATTATCCCGAGTTATCTCGGGTTCGTATATATTGCAGTTAATTATTATCCCGAGAAAACTCAGGTGAAGCAGAATTTGTTAGTACGATTTCTTTTATCACTGTTATACTCGGTCTGGAGGAAATGAAAGGAAATATTTAGCTTTGATTGGCAGTTGCCAAATTTTATTGGTTGCGCGGTTCTTTTGGAAGGCCTGGTTGCGTGTTTCCCTATTGTATAGTATATGTTGGCTTGTAGATTAGTAATGTATAAAGAAGGATGCATGCGTTGGAAAAAAAAAATAATGGCGATGATGGAAGATAGCGAAAGTGATGATTTTTCAGATAGTAATTATGAAAAGGTTGGGAAAGAAATAAAAAATATTAAATCCAATGAAACAGTGTACTTTGTGCTCCCGTGAAAGAGATTCCAGCGGTAAGCCAGTAAGAAAAGAGACCAGATACCAGTGTAGAACGTCAGGTATCACTCTGTGTTGTCCCTTGTTTCAAAAACTATCATACAAAGATTAATATTTAACTTTTTTCGTTTGCCCGAGATAACTCGGGATAGTAAACTAATATTAAAAATAAATGCTTTTACACCTTCAAAAATTAAAAATTCAACTTAAAACCTACATATTTTGATTTGTTTCATTTTGTTGCATTTAATAATAAAATAAAAAAATGTGATGATTTTTTGCAATTTTTTTTCAAAAGATTTTTTAAGGGAAGCGGTTAATAAGGCATTTTTACGCTAGTAATGTATATACAATAGACGAAATATGGTATTAAGTATATGCAGATTTTACCAGAAATGGTTGTGTAAGCTCAGTAGTAGATTTAATAAAATGTAGTTGATTTATGCAGTTTTTTTTTTGGCCAAAAAGCATGTTTAGTACCTAGTAAAAGTAGATTTTAGATTTTTACCAAATTAATAAGTAAAAAACAAAATGTAGTTACACAGATTTTTATGCTCAGTAGTAGATTTAATAAGAATGTAGTTGATTTATGCAGTTTTTTTTTGGCCAAAAATGCATGTTAGTACCTAGTAAAAAGTACAGGAGATTTAACTGAATTTTTACCAAAATTATATGTGAAGTAAAAAAACAAATTATGCTAAGTAAAAATACTACACAGATTTACATTAATTTTCACTAAAAACCTACAAAGTAAAAAATTGGGGAGATTTATGTATATGTGATAATATATGTGAATTTTTTCCAAATATACATGCAAATCATTGAAATTTGTATATATTATAAGTAAAAGCTACAAATAAAGAGCACTCACTGACATAAATATACCTAAATTTGACATATAACTTATGTGGATTATAATGAAAGAATACATGCAAGCATCTACTTTTTTTTTTTTTTTTCAGGACACTTTTTATGATATTTTTGCATTCTATTTGTAAGTTTTTTTTTATGAAGGGTTATTTGTGAATTGCACACATTTTTCGCATGCAATTTACAAATGCATGCTGCCTGGGTAAATCCCAGAAACATAGCAACTAAATTTCTAAGTCAAGCTGCTACACCTTTAAGAAATATAAATTGGAATAAAAATAAAAGAATCCCACTGCAAACTCAAATACCATATACTTCGGCATATAAGTTGCACCTTTAATACAAAAAGTATGACTGAAATTTACAGGTGCATGTTATATGCCAGATATACAAAAGATGGATTAAAAATAGGGAAAAGATGAGCATATAAGAATTAGATTTCTAGGTGTACTGAAATACTGTTTATTTGGAAAAAATGACATATCTTACAAAAATAAAAATTGTCATGATTTGTTAACATGAAAATTTTGACGTATTCATCTTCTGTGATATCTTCAGGCACATCATCAAATTCTGCTTCATCTTCACTATCTCTCATCCATAAATAAATAATTACTTTCCGTTACACCTAGATATACTACATTTTTATGTGACTTTTGAATTACGTTAGGATTAATTTCATTTCATGCGTTTATTATTCACTCACACACTATTTCTAGACTGGCATGACACATATGGCTTCCTTTTCAAATGTTTTTTCACCTTCTAACATCTATGTATTCCATTGTCATTTTAAATTTTCTTTGAATAGTTTACTGATACACACATCTAAAGGCTGAATTAATACCTTCGGTCCAACTGGAATTACTGCCATTTCTGTATTACACTCTTTCAACAATTCCTTCGTATTCTCTATTAGATGGGATGTGAACACATTACAAACTAAATGACTTTCTGGATTCTTTAAGACAACAGGATGCTTTTACAAAACATTTCTTATCAACAATTTCACACCTTTTTCATCCATCCATCTTTTCTCTTGAAAATAAAAGAAAGCACCATTTGGGAAATTAAACTTCAGCATTGTCTTTCTTTTAACACATTGACTATCACGGAACTTTTCACAATTCCAGTCTAAAAAGCCAAATTTGATCTCATAGTTGGTGTATGTAACAGAAATGTCTTAGCGAAAGCCAACTACAAGGTAATTCATGAACAGAAATGCTTCAACCTGTCACTTCACCACAGCTGAGTCAGAAACTGTGTATAAATTTGTTAGTAATAATAGAGCTATCAAGAGCATCACATCTGTGTCTTTCTTGCGTGTGTTATTTTATTATCAAATTATAAATGCCTGAATATGGATAGGAAAAGACCACTTATTGAAAAATTTAGTGATCCATTAAATAATTTAAGAGATCCAGAACTTAATGAGATTGTCAGAAAGGATGGTAACAATACTCGTGATTATGTCCTTCTGAGAATTCAAGTGAGTACAGTAATGATGAAGTCGTCTCCGAACCTGAATACAATCACAAAGTTTGCTAAGAAGCCACTCCAAATATGAATAATTTGTGGGCAGAAAATTGCCAGACTTTTCTGAAAAGCAACTTCTAAAATAAAACTTAAGCCAGCACTTTGCCTAAAATATTGTTTTAAAAATTATCACAAACCATAAAAATGTTATTCTGCTTGAATACACTTATATAAACTTTTTCTTTTTGAAAAAACTTTATAATTGTATTTTTTGTTCATTTAAGGCAAACCTGATCTTTTTTCTTCCCTTGCTGGAGACCATCTTTTCATAGTTACATTGTTATACTATTACTTTCATCATAGCTATACAAATATGGCAAGTAATGAAGCAATGAGATAACTTGTAGCCTGGGGATGTAAACAAGCTAAGATATATCTCATAGTTGGCAGTCAACCTGTTAAAAATAACAATGGGTTTTAATTTTGCACCATCCGCTAAACAGGAAAGCACTACAGTGAGGTTAAGATTTTTCGTGGCCTGCTGTTTCTATGTGAATCATTTTTGTTCCTTTCACATTGATTTTTTATTTCCAATCATACCTAACATTATTATAGTTTCAATCATATTTCAAATATGCGACAGGAAATATTTTCTTTCATAGGTCAGTAACATACCACTGGAAACTTATCAATTTGTTGCCTGAATCTTTCAGAAGGCTTTGTGAAAATTTTTTTTTCTTGTAGAACTAAATCACTCAGTGCCATAAATCAACTGCACTAACTCAAAGTTACTTTAAAGTTTTCACTTTCATTTGCACTCCCCCCCTTTAAGGCAAATAAACGTACACTGTTTCTTGTTACAATTAATTTATTCTGTGGATTTTCAAGCACCTAGTTCACAACACTTACTTCTAAGACAGGCCATTTCTTTACTACTTTATGCAAAGCAGTTTTATTGTTTCGTATATTAATTACTTATGCTTTCATTTTTCTAGCAGTCATGCATGGGATTTTCACCAACACCAAACATCCTTGTTGCTGCACATTTCCCGTTTCTTTTACAAACTGAATGACTTTGCTTTTGAAACCAGCACGGTATTTGTTTTGTTTGGCAGGATCAATATTTATTACTAAAAGGAGCACTAAATCATCTGTATTTCAACTGAAGTAAATGAAATTTACTAAAGGCTACAATGTTAACTTCAAATGACTAAAGAAGAGTAAACATCCACCTCCTAATTCTGTGAATTGATTTAGGTCAGGGATTCATTCATTCCAGTTGCATTCATAACCCAAATTCTGTCCCCTTTTTTCTTGATACCCTAGAATAACATTCTTGTGCACAGCTTCATTGAATACAATTCACTTTTTATAGATTTATTTACTGCCTTAAGCATTTCCTCCTCCACACATATTATTCCCTTTACTGCTTGCCAATTCAAAATACCATTGTTTAAAATCCTGGAAAAAGTCTTTGAATGAATAACTTCAAAGATAACAGCATCACACATGTATCTTTCAGTTTTCTTCATAAAGAAAAGGGTACACATTATACAACGAATATACTTAAAAATTAAAAACTATAATACGAAATTATTGGCGCACATTATAAACCGGAATATACAGTAATTAGTTTTTAACACACTCAATGAAACACATTTTCAAAGAGTGACATACAAAAGTATTTTTTATTTAATAGTTACCTCTGTTGCTGGAGTCAAATCAATTGCCACACAAGAAAATTGTGGAAACTTCGAGAATGGATTATAACAGCTACCAACATCTAGGAGCTGAAGCTTTCTATCCAGATATTCATTAGTGTCTGTAAGGCTGTAATGAAGACAAGTAAAGTAAGCTGCAACATAAACGGCATTCACTGCTTAATTTTATAAGTAATTTTAAATATTTAACATGGATTACATCAATACAAATGTGGCAGTAGCTAGCTGGTTTAGAGAATTAATTAGAGTAAATATATAATCTCAGTTCAAAATAATTTATTAATATTTTACTTTAACCTGAAATTACATCCATTACAAATATCTATTTAAGAACCCAATACATTAAAAATATTTGCAGTTATAACTGTCATTGTAACAGACATCTTTAAACTACAGTATTTAAATAAAAGCTTTACGCTCTAAAACAAACATTAACAGTTATTACAAAAAGTAATACAAGGTTAAATTTTAATTACCTGTAATTTAAATCACTCATAGGGCATTTTGCAAGTTTCATTGCTCTCAACAAAGATTTCTTTAATCCGCCATGATAAAAGTAATCCCTGCAAAACAGATTATTTCTTAAACTCCATAAAATGTTTCACTCATTTGCCTTTCTTCAGCATTACAGTCAGTTTTAACTAATAAAAAAAATATATCTTCTACACTGAATTTCCGAAACATTATGACTACTTATCAATAATGCCATTGTGCAACCTTTGGCCTTTAGAACAGCCGCAACTCACCTTGGCATGGATGTTACAAGTTCTTGGTAGATGACTGGAGACAGGTTGTACCAAATTTCTAAGCAGCGGTCATGCAATGTTGAGATATTCCGACATGGTGGTGTTTAAGGTCTGAGCTGCCACACCATGACATCATAAATGTGCTCTATCAGGTTAAGATCCGATGAGTTAGTTGGCCAGGACATTGATTGCAATTCATCCTTATGCTCCTCTAACCATTCCAATGCAATTCCATCCTTGTGACACGGGATGTTGTCCTACTGGAAGTTTCCATTTGCAGTTGAGAAGACAGATGCCATGTAAGGGTGAAACTCCCCAAGCGGGGACATGCTCCAATATATTTTTCTTTAATGACGCTTGGACATCCAATACTTCGGAATCTACTGTTGGTTCCACCATCTTTTATCCACTTTGCATAAATACTAACAATGGCAGATCGTTAAAAGCCTACCAGTCATGCAGCTTCAGAGATACTCATTCCGAGTCTTTGGGCCATTACAATCTACCATCTATCAAACTTGCTTAGATCAGCAGCCTTTCCCATCACTTGCAAAAGTAAGTGAAAGAATGATTCCTTACCTTCCACAGCAGCAGTTAAATATTCTCACTGATTAAGTGAGAATGGTATTTAACATGCCATCCAGATGAGTTCATAGAAGAATGTGAGGATGGTCACCATCCTCATATTTACATCGCATGTTCTGGCTCATCAGTGTACATTATTCAGGGTTTGTATACATTTCTGCACACAGAAATTAAGGACTTTTAAGGACCATTAATGAAAAAATTAAGGACCTATGAGCAAATGGGAACTGAATAAATTCAATTAAAAATATTATCTATGCCTGAATTTCACTTTTGTAATACCATCCTAAAAATAAAATAGATGCCTAAGTAGTATGTATTATTACTAAACATGAATTAACATAATTATTAATAAGTTTAAGAATAAAAAAAACTTAATGCAATTTATCAATTAGCATTAAATATTTTACACTTATAATAGTTGGTCATATTTGAAAGAACATAAGTGACATTTACGTTTCACTAACAGTTAGCTTTATGCTGATTTTTTTTTTCTCTCATTTTGTCACATACTTGGTAAGTCTAGAGGCTTAGTAAATAGCAGGTAGATTTTATGTCAAACAGCATAGGTTAAAATGAGAAGTAAGATCATAATCAGCATGATTCATAGCTAAAGACTGGATGTTGTCACCGCTGCTGCTTGTCTAGAGAGAGACCTGCTGATTAGAACAAACCTGAAAGGCCTGATGTAAGCATGGTTGGCAAGTGTTGAAAGTCAGTCAGGCTCTGTTTGATGCAGTTAGTGTTATAGCTTCATGTAGAGTTTCAGGGGTTGTAACCCAGTTAATATACTTTAAGGTTTCAATAAGCCATTAAAGCAGCAGAGGTGATAAGATATTTTGTATTATTTTAAGTCTCAGTAGATACAAAGCATAAGTTTTACTTGAATTTTTACATTTTTGTATTTTATCTTGTGACCACAGTGAAAATTAATGAAACACAATAACTCGCTTTAATATGTAGAGATACTTTTTAAGGGTAAGCAGTTAGTTATAAATAACTAAATTAGGTAGTTTAATAACCTTAGTCATTATGGATTTACATGACCACTATTAAATTTTAGCCCTATTAAAATCAAAATCTAATAAAATTTCACAGTTTAAAATACATGTAGTTTATGAAATTGGTTCTTAAACGATATTAGGATAATAACACATTAAAAGCTACAAAATATTTATGTTTTGTAGCAACAACACTCAACAAAATATTTACCTGTCATTTTAATTTGAAGCCTTCCCAGACATTTTGGTTAGTTTATATCAATGTAAGCATCTTTTCTAATAATTAGAAATTTGTCTTAATATGCAAACCAATGCTTTTGCTAGTTTCTGCATGCTTTATCTCCTAACTTGCCAACCTCTCCACAATGTACCTATGAGGGTTTACTTGATCTGGTAAAAGTTAAATAATTCAAATGCCTGACAGACTTGAAGCACATTATCGCTATGTCTGAAAGTAACTACAATATCAGACAAAGGTTTAAATAAACCTCTTTATTTAAAAAGAACTTAGAACATAAAGGCATGTTCTGATGCTAATAAAATCAATTACACCTCACAGTGACATAATTAAACAAGAACAGTCAAATTCAAACTAATAATGAGGGCCCACCAGTGGCTGAGCGGTAAAGTCACTGAACACTGGTAGTTCGGTCCGAGGTTTGAATCCCTCGAACGGGCTGGCTGCATGGGTGTTTTCGTGGTTTTCCCCATGTGTAACGTGTATACGAGACAGTTTCCCTTAGAAAGTCCTCCACGAAAGCATCCCTTCCCTTAGGCAGACAGCCCTAGTGTGCTTTGCCATAATTAAATATACCAAACTAGTGGTCAAAGATTATACAATTTAATTTAAATTTAATCTGGCTCAGTAACTCTATCATATGCAGAAATAGAAATCGGAAATTATAGTAAAGGTTGAAATCATAAACAATTGGGTAATTTACATAATAATAACTGCACATATCTTTGAAGAATAATTTTCTTTATATATTCAGTTTCTTTCTTCAACATGTTTCCTTTTCATTTTAGAATTTTTGGATTTAATTAAGGATTTCTGTTATTCTAAAAAATACTAAATGCATTAAGAATATACAGAAAAAGTGGCTAATTTTGTTTCTTTAGTAATATGAACATTCAGAAGAAATATGAAATATATATGTTAAAGGCCGTTTACAGAGTTGATGTGGCAAAATTTTCAGAATTTAGTGACACACCAAAACAACAAAATCGAGAAATGGCAAAATTTTAGAATTTAGAGCAGGTATTGTAAGCAGAATTTAGAAAGACACTAGGCAGCAGAATTTAGGATCCACAGAGATTGCATCAGATGGGAAAATGCCTAGTGCCAGTTATGTGTATGATGCATTTAAGACACATTAGATGAATCTTTTAAATTGTAAGTTTTCAATTTCTTTATTAATAAAAAAAATCCCTTCCTATAATGCCTGCCCATGTGATAAGATTAGAAGCATTTTTGATATTTTCCATGCTTGTGTCTAGTGAAAAGTAGAGAAAACTAAGGGAAGATACACAAGTTAAGGTTCTAGTATCAGAAGTAAAACATTCAAATATTCATTTTTCATTGTTCTTCCAGACGCTCTCAGTAAGAAATTCATTGCAAACTTTCTGTAAAATACACCCATTACGTGTTGATACCACAGAGACATTTTTCATTTTGTCACCTATTTCTCAAATCTTCTTGAATCGTGGGTCTATAAATATTATGTTTTCATTGTTCTTCCAGAAGCTCTCAGTAAGAAATTCACTGCAAACTTTCTGTAAAATACACCCATTACGTGTTGATACCACAGAGACATTTTTCATTTTGTCACCTATTTCTCAAATCTTCTTGAATCGTGGGTCTATAAATCTTGCCTTTAAATCCTTCTAAACTTTCCAAGCTGCAATGTCTAAAATCCTAAAGAAAAATTATTCCTACCATTTCTGTAACAGCAAAAAGCCAGAAATCTTTTGGAAAAAAAAAAAGAGGGAAGAAATGTAAAATTAATTTTATGGAGGAAACTGATGCACATTTTGAGAATTTTGAATATTCTGAGATAATTACATGGGAAAAACTCTTGCTACAAGAAAATTAAAAAAAAGATTTTTTAATTAATTATATAGCTAATTTTGCTTTCGCTAAGAGCTGTTTCGTAAATTGTGCTTTTATAGCATTATACCTTGTTTATTTTTCAGATTCAAAATATTGTATAATAAGTTGCCAAAATGAAAATTCATAATATGACAGGGAAAAATAAAAATGTTTTATTTTAATGCTACTTTTTAAATATAATTTCAATATTTACCATTATTTTACTGAAATTTATCAATGTTACAATGTTTTAAAAAAAATCGTCGAAAAATTCTCAGGTCTCGGAATTAAAAAGTTTCTATATAAACTGATCTTAAAATCGGCAAAATGTTGAAAAGTCGCCAAATTTAGAACCGTTTAATAAAAGAATTCACATCCCCAAAAGCGAAAATTTTAAAAGCTCTTTATTAGAAAAAATGACTTTCGAAATGCTTATGTTTCACTTCTTGCTTAGAAACTCGAGTATTCCATCATTTATATTAGAAACAAATTATGACTCATGCCCATTCAGAAGATAACCATATACACGTCAGTTAATCGCCAAAAATGTTCCTCCAAAATGCTAATTCACACTCAAAATAGCAGTTGTAAAAACTGACAGAAATTTCAGATGATTAAAATTTAGGACCTTCTGCTGATTTTGGCCAAAATTAAGGATTTTAAGGATCAAAAATCGATTCAAAAAAATCTAAGGATTTTTAGGGACTCTTGAGGACCATATGAACTCTGATTATTACACATTCACAATACTTGTCATGATGCAATGAATAAGAATGGATTCATAAGAATGTACCAACAAAATATTTAACTAGGAATCAAATGCAGCAATTAAATAAGACGAATACGTCAATATGATCAAAAGAACCTGAAAGCATATATGGAAATAGTTATCATTTGTTTTATATCATAAACAGGAACATCTTTTAAGAATGCACTTGGTAGAAATTTTTGAAAAGTACAGCTAAAAAAACATTCCAATTTCTTTTACAAGAATTATACCATAAATTTTCCTTTTTCTGTAAATCTTATTAATTTTTTATAAGCTTACAAATAGAAATTCAATGTACAAAAATATGTAGTTAACACCAGGGTTTAACTTTTAAAGTTAGAACTATCAAAGCTCTTTGAAAGAAAGTCAACAGCTATGAACATAAGTAAGTAGAAGAAGGATAAATAAAATGATAAACAAATAGTAATTAAAATAAAATAAAATATAAAGATACTGTTGGTTCTCAGCTCAAAAAACAAACCTTCATTTGCTGAAGGAAGTTAATGTATCACGGGGTTTTTCCATTGATCCATACAAAGAAAACATTTCTCAGCATACATTTTGTGACTCTAGTCATTCAGCCTTTGCAGCAGCTGTTTATATTCATGCGGAAACCTCTGAGAATACCAAAGTTTATCTCTTAGCGGCCAAGGTAGAGTGGCTTCTGTAAAACCCATGACTATCAGTCGACTAAAGCTTTTGGCTGCTATGGTGTGAGCTCGATTGTGCACATCTGTTGTAGAAGGGTTTCGACGGAAAGATGTTGAACAACATTATTGGACCAATTTCACCGCTGTTTTAGGGTGGATTCAGCCTAAAGAATCTTGAATAGCATTTTTGAACAACAGAGTGAATGAAATAAATAGTTTAATCAATCCTCTTGCATGGAAATACTTCCCTGGAATCCAGCTGATCTGCCTTCGTGAGGATGTTCTGCTAGACAACTGCTATCAAGTAAATGGTGGAAGGGACCCACTTGGTTCTTAGAACCTTCATTTAACTGGCCCATCAAAGAACAAAATTTTGCTGAATATTTTATAGCCAAGAAAAAGAGGAAAACAAAATCTGATGAGCATTATTCTATGTGTTTCTGAGTTACTCTAATAGTTGTAGCTGCAAAACTGATGAAAAGAAAAATAATGAATGCAGGCATTAGGGATCAAGTTGGTATTATTATTATTTTTCAAGCTATGACAAAATGATACCCTTGATTGCTTGAATAAAGAGATCTGTTTTCAATTGCCTAAATGCAAAGTCTTCATGAATTATTAGAGAGTTATTCAATGAAGAAGTCAAAAATGCAGAACAGAAGGTCATATTGTTAATACAAAAGAAATATTGTTAATACATATTGTTAATACAAAAGAAATATTTTTCTGATCATTTAAACAAAAGGAAATTAGAATCTTTGACCAAATACAAGGACGAAGAATGAATTATTGGGCTGAAAAGCAAATTACAATAGGGAAGGATACAGAGAACTTTAGACATCCATTAGTTTTACTGGAAGAGCATCAGACTGTCAAAAGGTTAATTATGACAGAACACCAGAAGAACTCTCATGCTGGCCTCAAATGTTGCTGAATATTCTAAGAGGACATTATTGGATTTTAAACGTGAGAATAGTCATAAGATCTCTTTTATCTAAATGTGTTACTTGTTTAAGATATGTTTAATTTAACTGCACTGATTTCTGCATTAACAGAAATTGAGTAAGGGATGCATTCAATTTTGAAATTATCCGAATTGATATGGCTGGAGCTATGTATTTAAAAGGAAGAAAAAAAAGCTTGGATTTACATATATACATGTACTGTGTACAGAGATGCCGATTTTGAGCTCTCAGCTCTCATTTCCTCACTGTCTATGAGGGTTTTCTTTAGAGTTTCTTTTGGTTTACAGCCTGCAAAAGTCGCCCCACATTCGTTGTAGCATCAAATGTTCGAAACTTGTTGATTGGAATGTCTTTGTTCAGTACTCCACCACTAGGAAAATTAAATGGTTTTTCAATCCCTCCCCCCAACTGATTCTTGGTGGGACGGTTTTTGGGAGCAATTAGTTGGTTTGATGAAACAAATTCTTAGAAGAATTTTGGGAAAATCTCTGCTGTCTTTTGAAGAAATGACAATGGTATTGTGTGATGCAGAATTTGTGATTAACTCTCGTCCACTTACCTATGTTTTAGAAAAAGACTCTCTCCCAACTCATTTTTACAAGGATGATTATTATTTTTTCCCAATTTTATTACATTTTCATGCTGTTCAGTAAAAATTCCAACACCATTAATTTGATAAAACAACAAAAAAATATTAATTCCCACATAAAATCATATAATTCTTATTTAAAGATTAAAAATTTGAATTTTTTCCAAAAATCATTTCACTATTTGAAATTTTCCGTATATTTTTCACTAAACAATTTTTATACACATTATTAAAAAACTAAAATTGTACAAGACATTAACCCTTCCATGCATTTTATGATAAAAATATCAGGTGGCAACCATTTCATTTTCAAGTTCACAAAATTCTACTTACTTTAGAATACAATATTAATTCCTGTATAGCTTTCTCAAAGCTTTCGAAATTCTAATACATTAGCCTTTTTTTCTTATTTGCTCAACAGATAGCACTACGCTCATTTCTTTTCACTGCAACTTATTAATTTTTTTTTTTGCTGTAAAAATTTATTTATTCCAGAAGAAGAGGGAATTAATATGAGTCACTCTCAAAATCAAAGAGGTTCATGCAAAATTTACATCAGTTTAAGGTTGTTTTTTGTTTAATTTCACAAAATTATGAGGGTTTGGGAATCTTGCATACATTAACTATTGTTCAGCCCTAACAGTTTGAGAAAAAAAGACATATTTATGAATAACAGCTTCTTTATTTTAGCCAAAATAGTATCCATAATACCAGACAGTAAAGTCAGGCTACAAGGTTGACTGGAAATTTGATTCACTATATCTGATCCAATAAGAAAAATGGATTATCTCACAAAAATGTGTAAAAATTCAGCGATGATTTGGGGAGTTGGGGTGGAGGACTGCACAATACTGTCATATCTACCATAAGAAATGAATAATAAATCCAATTAAAAAAATCATATTAATCACAATTATTATTATGCTCAGTCACAACTTTTTGGTTGTTCTTTTACAGTTTCGATAAATGTTAATAATTTTACATGATAAATTACTTCAATTTACATTAAAATTAATTTAATTTATATTTAATTACTTTAATTTATATCTATAAGTAATTATGTTTTCCATAACATTATAAAAACACTAAAAATAAATAGCAAAAAACATTAAAAAATGTACTTTTTACGTTTACTTAATTTCACGTTACTTTATATGTTCTTTAAGGTATACTTAATTTTCTGTTGGCATGGTTCAGATTGTAGAAAAATTTTATCCATGGCTGCAAAGCAAAGGTTCAATAACCATTATAAAGAATATTTTGTATCATCAAAAGACCTAAAGAAAGCAAAAACCTTATTCATTCGAAGTATATAACTTGGAGAGCATTTATACTCAAATAAACTGATAAGCATCAAAATTTCATGTCATTCATAATTTTGAAATGACAAATAAATTGTATAGCCATAGCTCATATGATTCACTAATTCCTCTTTTCCTGAATAGCGAAAATATCAGAATTTCCATCATAGCATTAGTTTTCAACAGAGCTCTGTCTGACAGATCTGTCAAAGAATTTGTGGGGAATTACAGAAACCATTCATGCTTGTTGGCTCAGTAGTCACTAACACCATGTGGTGTCCTATGATATGCTTAACACACTAACCTATGATATGCTTAACACACTATGTCCTCATTTTCCTATTTGGGTTCACATCTGTATTGCAGAGCCTTTGTATAGAATATAGAGAAAAGTAGGTATGAAGACTAACAAAAAATAACGCAGAGGCGTTTTCCATTATGGATTGAAAGTGGATCCTTAACATCCTAAACACGGATGATTTTAAGGTTTGGTATTTTTTTTTAAACTTGAAAAATTCTGGAAAGGATATGAAAAACGCAAAGTTTCAACCAACGATATCCATTTAGTGTGTTACATCTGATTATCATACTTTTGGAAGTTTGGTTCATTTGATAAATCTAGGGGGGTTCCTTATAAACTGCGTTCATTATTGTGGGGTTTGACAGTAATACAGCTAATTGTTTCACAATGTTAATACTGCACTATAAATTTTTGTATCAGCCTTTCCCCTTTTTTCATTATATTCAAGAACATCATGCTGTCAGAAGAAAATTTCATTTCATACAAAAATAATTCTGCAATGGATGAATTTCAATAATAATCTGATTTTAAGGAAAAACTAGTTTAACAAGTAGGAACTGCATTCCTTAACCGGAATTTAATAACACTTAACATTAAATTCCAATTTTAAGTTTTTCATGAAAAAATCTGATAATACAGACACTTAGTACCTTTATTATAGTCGAAAATTTAGTTTTTAATACTTTTCCAAAGCATGGGAAAAAGGAACCTATTTTCTTCCTTTTCAGTTATACAGACTGGTATAAAATCAAGCTGCCTAACTTTCAATTAATCTTCATTATTAATTATACATACATGCAAGTTCTATACGTCCACTTGATCCGACAGTCCTTTTCATTTTTGTTCCATACTTGTGTAGCTAATTTCCACATAGCTAAAGAATATTGTTTCCTAAGATCTTTCTCATTTAGATGCTCATCCCATACTTTATCTGGATCACCACCTACAACAATACGCAGGTATCATATCGTAAGACACTAAACTGAGTTTTAAAATATGCAAAGTATTTTTTACAGTAATATATGCAAATTTATAAGATGCTTTAAATCAGAAGTCTCCCAACTTTTTGACTATTGGCCCCCTTCAAGAATTTACAAACTTCTCATATATTTATACAGAATCATCTAATATATTTGTAGCTAATGTAATGCATTGTAATAAAACTTTTATTACCTGAACTGACTGACACTGCCTATATGATGAATCATCAGCTTAGAGACACTGTTGTTCATAAACTACTTCAGATTGGGAGGTTTCAAATTGATGACCAACTGCAGATGATTTTATTTTGATTATTTACACTTTTACAATAAAATAAAGTATAATTAATGAATTTTCTCTCATTCTTTCTCATATATGATGATATATATATATATATATATACGATAAAAAAATGTAAATCAAAAGTCTAACTTAAATCTGCAATTCTTTAATTTAATTTGGATATTCACACTCTCCAACCTTTTTACAATACTGATGACACAGTTATTTTAGATCTGAAAGGTCAAAATTTCCAAACCAGATTCTTTTAACTTTTCAAATAGGCATCTATCTTTTATTATGTCACTTTTTGCTATTGCTCCTCTTGCTAGCAAGTCTGCTGCTTTTGCTCTCTTCAAAATTATCTTTGGTACTTTTCCATTTTGCCGGCGCAAGTGATAAAGTCGCCAAAAATAGTACAACTGATGCCAAACGGAATATCCTCGCTGGTAACCTTTTACGCCTCGTTTTCAAAACAAGTCGCAGCCATTTCTTACCAGATTGATTGTTTATTTCAATACTGGCATACAATTACATAGAATTTTTACCACATAGTTCACTTTTATGCCCTAAGGCCATTCGAAGTAATTAAGTCAATTAGGATGCAACATCACACCGCTCATCCGAAAATATAGAAAACGCAAAGTCAAGGGTTAAATTCATCAATTCTAATGACACTGCACTAGCGAAGTAAAACACTGTGGTTTTTCATAATTTCTGAGTAAGCTATTCGTAGGAATTGAAATAATTCTTGCATTTAAACTTGTATTCCAAATTAAGATTTAACTTAAAATTAAAGTAGATAATTACTGAGAGAATTAGATTTTTGTAGCGTAGTCTACGTGAGAAGAGATCACTTGGGGTCACGTGATATGTAACGGCAAATCAAGAAGTTGTACAATAAAAGCATAGTGAATTCTTTAATGTCTTTTTACAAATTTATCGTCTTTATTTATTGTCTTTTTACAAAATTTCAAACGATATTAAAATGTTTAGGCCTTCAAAATAAAAAATTCTTAAGAACTAATATTTGTTAACATTTTTTATGTGTATACTGTGTGTTGTCGCCAATCAAGTCTGCTTGGCGAGATATGCGCCGGCGAAACGGAAAAGTACCTTATCTTTTATGTGCCAGTGAGAAATGAAATGCTATATCAATTCTGCCACAACAACATGTTTTTCATCTACATGACTTCAAATATTTCTACGTATGGATCAACATCTACGCAATCAACTTTTCTACATTATTATGTACATACATATAATAGCTTCCCATTATTTTAAAATCAAATTGTTGTATTTTAAACATTCATTGCATTAGCTTTTTAATTTACAATCACCACTCAATCAAATCCTCTAAATGTTATTGTGACCCCAGGGTTTCTTTATCAATTACTTTGGAGATTTGCTTTGAAACCCAAAATTAAAACTATTTTCAGACAAATTTCCAAATCACATCTCAATAATATTATTCACAAAATTATTCTAGGCTGTTACACTCAACATTCCACACGTATGAATATGAATTAGAGTGGATTAGGCAATATTTTCCAGTGGGAAGAATCAGAGCTTAAATTGCGGCGAAGACCACTGGAGCCAGACTTTGGAACTTCAGGGGTGTTTGTGGGACCCCAAAAAAATCCCCTGAAACTTTTACGGACTTACTACCGACATTTTGGAGTTTCGAGAAGGGGGGGGGGGGGAAATGAAAAATTACAATTATGAAGTATTGAACGACCTAATTATAAAAGTTCAATGAATTACTTTTTTTTGCAAAATTAATAACCATAAATTTTCAAACATATAAACTACTACATTTTATGTAAATATTTTAAATTACCTGAATTAATTCTTTAAAAAAATTATCTAATTTCTGCTGCTTTTTTTTTTATTTTCTGATGTTTGTGGGCTTGTCTTTCTTTTGTGGTGAACTTCATAATTGCAGGAAGGTTGACTTTTATTTTCCTCATTTACAGTTGAAGAAATTTCCTCGAGAATTGCACATGCAGAGGTAGAAGCAGTTTGCTTTTCTGCTAATGTAGAAGGTTTTTCAGAGACTTTTATAGGTGACTCATCTGAAATACATGTTTTCAAGTCGTCTTGATATGTTTTCCAACTTCTGTTCATATTCAGTAAGAGATCTTTGTGAATTGGATCAGTCATTGGATTTTTTGAGCCATATTTTTCACATGAGGTTTCTTTAGAAGCCATTAAATCATATTTAATAGTCTGCACTGCAACTAGGGAATCAATCTTAAGAGAGGTTCTATAGTCAGTGACAAGTGTATTCATTAAGTTGAATGCACTTTCCACTAATGGGCCATGGAAGCAGCTAAGGCAGGCTTTGACCAATTTAGCCAATGTAGGATACTTATAATCATTTGTGAAATCATCTTTTAAATTAAAAACTTTAGACCAATATTTATCAATTGTACACTTGACTTGATTTCCATTTTCATCAGATGTGTAGAGCATTTCTTTGGTGATATCAATATCACTCTGGTATAACCTTATTTCAGCTTCCACTTTTGACTTTTCATTATCACTAAAAATATGGGACATAAAAGATGATAATTTTTCAAAAGCTAATATTGTACTGGGTTTTACTCTTAGCTCTGGATCTAATGCTGTAAAACTAATTAGATATGAATTTTTTTAAGGTGTAATTTCTGTTTCATATGCTGTGCTGTATTAGTATAAGCTTTCATCAGAGAAATTTGGAATTCTTTTGCTATTGGATGATTTTTTGATAATTTCTTCAGGAGAGTGGAAGCTTCTGCACCAGTAAATATTACTTTGCTAGGTAGATGGAATTCTGGATTTGTGACATCAACCTTTAATAAATCATTATAAGATGTGCACTCTATATTTTCTGGCTTCATAAAAAAAAAAGAGAAAAAATTTTGCCATCAATTTATAAATACTGGAATGTATTAAATGAAGCATTGTTTTTTTTTTTTTTTTTTTTTTTTTTTTTTTTTGTTTCAAATAATTAATATACGTGTTGAACTCTGGTAATACTGCTGAATATAATGCTATATGCAATAAAGTTTTGTTTTGCATAACAAATAACCCATTTAGTATTCTTTTTTTTCCGAGCTAAAGCATCCTTTGCGAGTTGTTGGGAATGCAAGCAAGAATACACCCCTTCAACAATTTTTTTCTGAGCTGCAGAAATATGTCTTTTATTGTATACAGTTTCAACATAAGAAAAATAATCCCCTTTATCAGTTTTATCCAAGTAGTGAAAATAAAATGCAATAAGAGCATCCCACAGATCTTTGATTCTTTCTAAAACACATAAAATGTACACCCACCTATGGTCTGGTCTCTTCAAGGGCTTAAGTTTTTTAATGGCAAGGGATTCACAGATTTTGAAAAAATTTCTCTTTTACTGCAGCTTTTCATATCAAAATAGATGTCATCAAACAAATCTTCTAAGTATCTATCAAAACATGAAGCAAATTTTTTTGCACAGTTTATTAGCTGTGTGACATGTGTCGACATCAATATCTAATAAGTGGGGTGCTTTGTTTGATCGTAGTCTGGTTTCAACACCCTTTTTTTTTTCCACACATGGTGTTACATGAGTCCATTAATACACTAATTAAGTTGCCCATGGAATATTATTATCTTCAATAGTATTAACAACTGCTTTAAAAACAGCTTCTGAATTGCAAGATTCCATCTTTAGAGATGCAAAATGATGAACTACAACTTCATTTTGATTGTTGTCATAAAACTGCACCAATATTGCCAGTATACTTTCTTGAGCATTGCTAGTACTTTCATCCAAATTTAGAGAAAATGGAGTCTCCTTTAAAGTTTTAATGATATTTTCCTTAATAGTTTTTGCGAGTCCATATTTCATCTTATAACATGCAGTAGTCCTGGACATTTCCAACGAGTTTAGTGCCGTCTGATCGCGGCTCAACTGTTTGCAGAGTTCAATTAAATTCGGCGATAAACGAAGTTATTAATACCTCTTGGCGTGCTTTTCTTGTCACTATATCCAATGGCCGAGCATCAGTCTCCAGTAAGTCATCAGTATTTTTTGAATTAGCATAATTACTTAAAGTCATTGAATGTCTAATGCACTTTGAATATTTTATGTGCGTCACAGTTTTAGAATGATTTGTGAAAGCCTTGAATCCTTCCCCACCATACTTCAGCAGTGAGTTACAAAAAACACAATATGCTTGTCCAGCAACATTTATTTTCTTGCACCATGTGCCGATGGTATCCCCATTACCATCACTCCGTTCAATCCAATTCCACCTAAATGCATTCCGGACACCTTCTTCTAATTGTATAATATCACTATTTATATCGAGAAATTTCATAGTGAAATTCTCTTGCGTACATAAATAAAAAAATATTTCAATAAACGAAACGAAAAATTGACACGTGCATCAATAAATGAAACGAAAATTTTACACAGCAGATAAAAAAAAGTTGAGAAGCGATCAATGACAAATAGCTAATACGGCGAAAAATCCCCCTTCTCTACTTATTGGCGCCACGCCAGGAGAGATAAGACCTTTGAACCCAGAGTCACGTGATTGCACATCTGGTCGAACAAAGTCTCTCCCTTTTTTTTCTGCCGCGCCTACTTGCCGAAAAGAATCCAGAAGAGAATGTCCGAGAACCAGGGGGAAATGAGTCATAACTCACAATAAGGAAAGAACAAAAAAGAAGTTTTTTCCCCTTTTCACGCATTATCACTGCCTTTGGAGAAAGAAAGAAAAAGTTTTCACCACACACACTGACCTTGCGTTTTCTGCTTTCAAAGCAAACAAAATTACCCAGATCAAAATAAATAATTCATTATTATTCCTACTTCCTTTTGAACGACGATCCCCGGAATTTCCGGGTATCAAAGTTCAAAATTCCCGGAATTCCAGGGTTTTCCCGGAGCACAAACACCCCTGGAACTTATAAATTTCTGCGGTAAATTGCAATTCTAGCCGGAGCACTAAATAAAAGGGTTCCAATTCTCCTTTTATGTATGTGAAACACAGTTTCAGCAGGTAAATTTTATTTAAAAAATAAATATGCTTTAAAAACTGATTATAACTTTAGAAAGCAGGCCTGTCTTTCTCCGCCACTTTCACGGAGTTTAAGACTTTTAAGGAAAGAAAAGTTCCCAATCTTATTTTTCAAATAGTGCAATGAATCTGTAACAGCGGGTAAAATGTTTTGTTTCCTGAAAGTACTAAAAGTTACTACCTTGGTTGTGCACATTAAACCTCAATGATCTTTCACTGCAGAGCTCCTGCAGACTTGAACAATGTAACCAAATACAGGTGTTAAAAATTATCACTTGTGCAGATCTTTCATTTGTTCTCATGTTATCAGACAGGATTCGGGGGAAATTTTTTTGCCAATCGCATTCTGCTTGACAGCTAGAATTATATCGGCAGGTCATCATAGTCAGAAAGCATTGGACTCTTCTCTTTTTGTTCTCAAAACTATATTTTTCCATTAAAATTTCTTTCGTTACTCTCATATTGTTTCTAACATTCTCATCACTGACTCTTAATTTGTTTTACTTTTTTCAATTGGTATGCTGGAAAAAGAATGGTTTTTGTTTCTCTCATCCCTTTAAATAGTACATTATATGGCATATTCAGGGCTTAAATCCAACCTTAGGGTGGCTGAGCTATTCCTTAATGTTTGAATGTAATTGCAAGTCCAGCCGAAGCCCCAAATAAGACGAGGTGTGATATTTTACTTCTTTTATTTAACTATCTATTTATCACATATTTAATAATTTATTAAATCTTTATTAATGTCTTTATATTTTTTCAAATTTTAATTTAAATATTTAAATTATTAGTTATATTTTGATTTTAGAAATTAAGTCTTGGGAAGAATACATATGTCAAAAACTTCATTGGACTGTATTTACAGTATGCATAAGGAAAACTACAAAAATTACACACAGCCAGTTCTTTCAGCTGCTGGGTACAGAATATGTTATTATGATTACAAAATACTCAAAGAATGCATTTACTGATAAAATAAGGCTATCCTAACAGAGAAAATTCCTAAAAATAACATGTGCTTAGTTTATATTTTAGGGTGCCCCTTGGATTATTGCCAAGTTGTTTTATTTATGGTAACCTGAGAAGTTATGTTATGGGAAACCTACTATGACATTATTGGTTGCGTGATTGCGGTGAATTTGACTGATGGGAAAATATCTGTAAGGGCTTATTTATGTGTTGGTTAGGAAGTACATTGCTTATTTTGTGCTTTACATCATAAAATGCCCGCTGGTGTTGCAATTAACCTGAAGTTTTTGTACCCTTGAAAATGACTGGGAAAGATAACATTGATCGATTGGTATGTAAATGAAGACTTAAATGGCTTCATTCACTTCTTGGTACATTACGAAGTGAGATTTAAGGATTTGGAAACCGGAGCTCATATCAACACTATGGAAGGTATGTGGGGTGACATAAAAAGGGATTTTCAAAAGAAATGCCATCGACAGTCCGGGGAATATTTTTCATTTTTACTTTTGTGAATTTATGTGGCGACGGCATTATACAGATTCTAGTTAAGATAATTTTAAATAGATTTTGGATGCTGTTAAGGAATTCTGTGTGTCTCCCATACCAAAGAAACAGAAATTTTTAAATAAGGTAAGCCGATATTCCGTTTTTGTATTGCTTAGGTTACATAATATGTTTTTCCCGTCTTACGTTAGTTCCTTGTTTGATTTAAAATGCAGTTTACTGAGATTACATATTTTTTTGTTTTAATTATGTTTTCGATGCCATTTTATTGAAGAATGCATTGGATGTAAACAGGAATGGCACCAAAAAATTACCAATTTTCCCCAAAGGGTACCCTGAAATATATTTTTACCTAACATGCATATATTGTCCCCTTTTCACTACTGTTTGCAGGGACATATGATTTTGAAGTAGTTTGTGATAACGTGTCACAAAAGTTTTATTATAATGTATCACATTAGCTACAAATATATTAGATATATGTACTCTAAAAATAATAAACACTTTAAAAAAATCTTAGCAGTATGTTTTTTCCATCCTATCATAACTATAAAATAGTAAAGTGAAAGGAGGTTGATAAAAAAACTGAGCAATTCTTGAAGGCGTCAATTTTCAAAAATGTCGGGACCCTCTGCATTACATGGAAAACTTTTTGACACTTAATTTTTTCAAAAACTAAGTTAAAACATAATTTATTTTTAATTAGCATAATGAATTAATTTTTCAAATTCTTTACTTTTTAAAAATGCTCCTAAGCTTTTAATATTTTCAAGAGATGAATTTGTAATTATGAAATTTCGTAGAGTAGAAGTTCTCAGTCTCAGGTATGACTTTTGCACATATAGATATCACATAACATGCATATGAAAATATAGTACAGAGTATGCATAAAATTAATGAGAAAAATAACATATACTATTTGGCATCTAAGACAATCACAGGTTATGACATAAAATATCAATGACAGTCTGATAAAAATACTACTACTACTACTAATATATATATATATCACAATTTATTTACTAAATAATATTGATTATATGATCTCCTAACATTAATTATAGTAGAATGATTTGAAAAGAGTGAATCCATACTTAGTAAGTTCTATTTCGAAAGATGTTTTTAAGTAACTTGAATAGTATAATTACTAAGCTGTATATATCAAAGAGCCAAAAGTGGCTCACAACTCACAGCGCAAAGTCTCAGTCATTAAATAAAATCGAAGAGCTAAGGTACACATTTTGCACTGAAGATCCGAGGTAACAGCGAACTAGAATTGCGAGGGAAATGTCCAGAAAGCAATCATATAACTGAAACTGCAATAGATATACAGGATGTTCCTGAAATATTGACTACATGCTTTACTTCCTTAATTATTGATCCTAGATATGTACTATTCCAGTTACAAAATGTTTTTAAATGAGGTAGGTTTTTCAACCTCTCTGTTTGAAAGGGTGTCTTCAAACTTATGCTGTTACTAACAAAATGGGCCTATTTCATAATCTTTAGTCTGTCAAATAGCTCTTTGACAGTGAAAATTCCTTTTTTTCCTTTCTTAAATTCTTCATCGTTATGACACGACAATTAGCCAGAAATGAATTAATTTCCATTCACTAGTATTTAAAAAATAAAAATTAACAGACAGTTTCACTCAAATAAGAGCTCCACAGCATACATCCCTCAAGAATTCCTAGTCCCTCCCACATCATAAATTACTTCACACAAGTCTTACCAACTGATATAATTCAAAGCCCCCGCTGCCGCTAAAGAATTTTCTGAACACAACCCTTCCGAGTCAGACGCGAAGAAAACACTTTGCCCACTCCCAACTAGAAAGAAGTAAGTTAATTAATGCTTTTTCTGGCCTTTATATCTTCATGTACTTTACCTTTTCTTATTATATATATTTTTTATTTTTTGATTTGTTTTTACAAAGATTGCATTATTTTCTTATATTTTGTAATTTTCTAATGTTTATTTCAACTACTTTGAATTTATATTTCATAATGACAATTTCTTAATTAATTTTTACAAATAATATTGAACTCAAATACATAAACACGAGGGTGTCGAGGAATGCTTACTTGAGCGATAGCACATTTACTGCAGAAATTGCTTTTCACTCCAAATTGAATTAGCTAAAATGCTTATTCAGAATGAGTTCTTTGGATCTCTGCATTGCTTCTTAATCCCTTCTATTCATGGAAATGTTTGGCCTGACTTGAATTGCCGGTTTCGCATTGCCTCATTGTTCGAGTAAAGGACGAAACACCTTTGTATTTATTTCTTAATTATTGTTCATTGAACGGGAGTTGGTTTGTGCCTCTTGAAAAGTCAACTAATTTCTGATCAATGGCAATAATTACTAGCATTTAATTTAATTCTTGCTTTTAATTTATTCATTTTACAATTGTTATTCATGATTTAATTCCAGTCCCCGTTAAACATTTTTAACAATTTACATTCAAGTTACTTAAAAACATCTTACGAAATAGAACTTACTAAATATGGATTCACTCTTTTCAGATCATTCTACTATAATTAATCTTAGGAGATAATATAATCAATATTATTTAGTAAATAAATTATTATTATCTTACTTTACCGCAATTGCACAAGTAGTAGAATAACTTAATTTCGCACTAAATGAATTTAAGATCATACAACTTTATATATATATATATATATATATACACAAAAAAAATGAAGAAAAAGTATATAAATTATGGTTTGCATTTTACACGCTGGATGTTCGGTATTCAGTAAGTAAGTAAACTGAGAAAATTTGAAAAACAGGATATGTCAGCCATAAGGCCTTCATTTCTAGCAAAGAACTATAGCCAAAGAAATGGTGGTAGCTTGAATCGCGTTTTATTCAATGCAGATGAGCAGGCTGGTTATAGGAATTTTCAGATCTGCCACAAACATGGTGCATTTTGATTTACATAGTCCTCCCCTAAGGTATCCTTCCCTTTAAGACGAAGGTTTTCGTGTACTTTGCCGTACTTAAATACGCTAATCCTGTAATCAACCTGATTAGTCTGAACAGAAACAAGCTAAAAGGAAATTGTAAGTATTCTCTCATATGCACTAAGCAATTTTTTATATTTTATTATACTTACTGATGGATAAAGATTTTCTCAATTTATTGTGAACGCCTCTGATCAAACTGACCAATTCCCTATGTTCATCAGAAGTCATATTTTAAAATTGCTTTGAAGTGATATTTATTCGTTAAATGTAGGAATTTCGACGGAAAATATACAATGAAATGCATTCATATACTTGAGTTGCGTCATCATATGTTTTTTAAAATTCATCCATTACTAATGTAAACAAAACTTTTCAGACTCGCTAAACATATGTAAACGTACTGATTGACTTATGATAATATTTTACGATTAATTACGGCCCTGTTTAAAAACAATAAAAAAAAAATCAGGAACACAGACTAATAACACTGCACTGTCCTGATGTTTTCAACACCACGATTTTCAAAATTTGTAAACAGGAAATACATTTTGGTTGCCATGGGTATATATCTATTGTTGCAGTTAGAACAGAAATTAGAAGTGGGCTAGTAGCTTTTCCCCCTTTTAAATTTGTAAAAACCAACCTTAAAATAAACTATGCATAAAAAAATAGCTATAATTTAGAAAAGAAGATGTTACTATTACTTAAATTTATAACGTTTAAAACGTTAATCATACTTATTTATTAATTTTAAAAATAATAGATAAAACCCGCTACAGATTCGATTTCTTAAAAGCTGCAGTGTTTCCTCCCCCCCTTGTGCATTGAAGGCTGAATCAAGCTCCGACACTATGCTAATTGCAGAAGGGCGTTCCTAAAAGAGCCTAGCCACGGAGTATAAATACCTTCGTGAGCCTAGAAACGCGAATTCAATTGCGACGCTAGGAAAGCATAACTAGAGCTGCTGCAGATAATCAAGACACAATAACACGTCGAACAAATACTAATTCAGAAGTCAAACAAACAGCTGAGGATGGTGGTTCGGTAAAACCATCGAAACTAGTTCTGTGAAAATTTTGAAAATATAATGCTGATTTTTATTGTTTGACTTCTGAATTAGTACTGCAGATAGTTTAGGAGCCTTAGCATAACCACGGAATATACTCCGTGGCATAGCAAATGAATAGAAGCTATTATCCAATGAAATTGTGTATCCCTTGTGAACAAGCTGACGTTTTTAATAAACTTGGATTGTACTATAGCATTTGTGTTAAAATCATGCAAAGATCGAGCAATTTCACTGTGCGAGAATTGGAAGGTTTTTGCTAATTTGCCCTTGTTGGATTGTACTGTGGCATTTTTGTTAAAATTTTTCCAAGATCGATCAGTTTCACTGTGCGAGAAATGGAAGCTCTTGTTAATTTCATTGAGAGTTACAAAAAACTTGTGAGTGGGGAACTAAGATAATTACGCTAATTTAAATGAACAAAGAGAAGCATGGAATGAAATTGCTGAGATTTTAAATTCTGTTAGATTAGGGACTAAAAGGTCTGACAGCAAATAAATAATAATAATAATAAAGGATAGATTTGAAAAGTCGCATAAAAAGAAAGCGGCTAAAATAAAAAATAATTATTCGGGCACAGGGACGAAGGCCAGGCATGAATGAGAAACTTTCCTATGTTGAAGTTAAAGCACACTGGTAAAAAAAAAAAAAAAAAAAAAAGGTTTAGTTCTATATTTCCCGTTCTACTGGGCCGATTGACGAAATTCAAATTGCGTTTTCATGTCTCAAAAGCGCGACTTAGGATATATATCAGATTTATATATAGCACTATTCTAAGATAGGTATTTTGACACAAAATCGGACTTTTTCTGAAATAACATACCAATTTTTTTACATATTTCGATTCTACAATTCAAATTACGCCTAAATATGAAATTTTGTAAAATTTGGAGCGAAATTTACGGAGAAATTCACAAATTTATATTGGCACTTTTTTTTCAGTTTGCGCCAAGAATAGTTCACTTGGCGAACTTCTTAATATATGGCAACCTATTTTCCTTTCCCTTTTCACATTGTTCGTGAGGGAAAAAAAGTCAAAACGTTCTTTCTTTCAAATAATGTTCTTTATATTATATTTTTATGTCATTATTTAAATTTTTTTTTTCTTTTTCGAATTTCATTTTAATTGTTTAAGTTGCATGCTTTCTTTCAAATAACTGTTTTAAAAATTTGTATTTACTCATTTGAACTACGTAGTTTAAATAAAAGGGGCATCGTTTATTATTTTTTTTTTCAAATGCTTTTCGTTATACTATATTTTTTTAGTCATAGTTATTATTTTAGGTAATATTTGAATTTTTAGACTTTTATTTAAATTTTTTGTGTTGCATTGTCTCTTCAGATAATTGTTTTAAAATTTTCTATTCATTCATTCGAACTGCGCATTTTAAATATAGTATTTATTAATATAAATTTTCCAGAATTTGGTTTTATTTACTTGAATTGCGTTTCTTTCGGAAGAATACTTTGTGACCCATACTACGATGCGTTTGAAAACTGCATATATTAAAAGAGAAAATACGGTAAAGCACAGTTAACACGACTTTCAATGGTATATCAATAAGAGGTATATCAAAGGTATATCAATAAGAGAGATATATATCCGACATTTTAACTTAGGATGCCTTGCATACATTGCTTTAAATAGTTTTATCATTGTGCCATTGCCTTACACAATTTGATCATCCTATATTTAATTTCTTAAAATGTTACTCATATTTTAGTCAAATATTTTATTTTTGAAATCGCAAGAATCAAATATTATAAAATTAAATTAAAAAAAATACTAAATTTTATGCAAAAATTTTTTTATTCTTAATGGTTTACTCTTTTTTTTTCAGGCATTCTGCAAGTATATTAAAAAGCATCTTGATATTTCTGACAATCATTTTAAATAAATTTATCTCCTTCCATTTCAAAAGGGCCCACAAACGGACGAGCGGTAATGTCGCTGAATACGAGTAGTTCGCTCCGGGGTTCGAATCCTGGCGAACGGGCTGGTTGCATGAGCGTTTTCGTTGTTTTTCTCACGTGTAACATGTATACGAACGGGTTTCGCTTAGAAAGTTGCCCACCAGTGGCCGAGCGGTAAAGTCGCTGAACATTGGTAGTTCGGTCCGAGGTTCGAATCCCGCGAACGGGCTGGCTGCATGGGCGTTTTCGTGGTTTTCCCCATGTGTAACGTGTATACGAGCCAGTTTCCCTTAGAAAGTCCTCCACGAAAGGCATCCCTCCCCTTAGGCAGATAGCCCTAGTGTGCTTGCCATAATTAAATACACCACACCACCGCTTAGAAAGTGCTTCACGAAGGCATCCCTCCTTTTAAGCAGATAGCCCGGCTTTGCCGTAATTTAATAATCCAAATCAATCCATTACATCATTATTTATTCAGAGCCTTTATCAGTCTTTAGAGGGTAGGTATTTTGAAGGCATGAGATGAAAGGAAAGACTGGTTTCATCAAGATGGAAAACGTCTTTAGATGACATCCATATACGTCACTGGATAAATTCCTGAATCTTCAAATAATTCGACTGAGAAATGATGCGGTGCTCCGTTAATATACAATATGATATTCTATGACGTAATTTAAATTTATACAACCATATAGTCGAAAACCAGTCGTTCGTCACTTTAATCTGCAGTGATATTGTTTTTGTCTTTTCCGTTAGCACAAACTCAATTGCTGCTATTTGCTGGTGTACACGTCCAAGTGTTTTCTCTTTGAACATCCAAATTCCTTAAAGTAGATTCCCCTTAAAATTTTTGCTCTTTCCCCCTAATTTCCTTCTTTTCTTCTACATTTGTTTTCTGTGCTGACACAAGAAAATTAAGATTTTTCGATTTTTACACTTCCATAAATATTGCATTCTTTTCAAATTTTTTAAAATATCAGTTGCATTAAATTCGTCTCAGCTGAAGACAGCTTCTAGACATTTTAACTATAAATAAAGTTTAAAGCAAAGTCCAAAGAATAAATATTTGAATTAAAAGATTTTGTTAAATGAGAAAGAAATAAACCACTCCAGCAATGCTTATCCTGTACAACCGAGGAACCCAATTCCTATATCAGGTGCAAAAAATCTTAATCATATTATTTAGAGTTTTTAAGCTTAAAATTTTCTATATTAAAGAAAATGTTTTTTGTATAGCCTACAGCACGAGAAAAAAATAACTGCTTAAAAAAAGACATTCTTTCTAAGAGGATTAATGTAAAAATTTATGTTTATATATATGTTTTTTAAAGCTGGGACATGACTCAAAGTGTCAACGTCTTGTTTGCTTAAAAACATTGTGAAAATAAACATCAAACGAACGTTTCTCAGTTTCAGAGAAATAAATTTAAATGAAGTAAAAATAAAGTAGCAGACGATAACACGGCGAAGGTAAAAATTTCCTCTTACAAATATTTAAAAAAAAAAAAAAAAAAAAAAAAAAAAAAAGAGAGGAAAAAAAGACAGAAATTTAAAAAAAAAAAAAAAAAAAAAAAAAACTGAAATGTTTCAGATTTTAAATTACGCCCAAAGGGGCGGTTTTTTTTTACGTTTTGTGCGTTACCTTTTTTTAAAAATAAATATCATGTTCTTTGCACTTAAACGATAAAATTTAGTTCAATAGCAACGTCGCAAAATAATTTTAAAGTGAGCAGATCTTTAGAATTTCCGATACACAGTTCCTCGCGCTGGAGATAAAAAGGTTTTTTTTTTTTTTTTTCTCCGTAGAGTGTTGCCATTGCTCGCTTTGAAATCCTTGAGTTTGTTAATCAAAAATTCGTTAAATTTTACAAAATATGAAATCAATAATAAAACAAATTTCAAATTTCAAATTTGGTCTTCCACATGCCCATATTCGTAGGAGGATTATGTCATTCAAAATTCAATGGCTCTATGTACCGTTGTTTTATCACAATGCGAGAAATATACATACATTTATGCAGATAGTGAACCAATGCAAAATCGCAAAACGAAAACAATAGTCCTTCAGGGACAAAGCCCCTTTGGACTAATAATTTCATATAATGTTTTGTTGCTGATGCTTGCTTGTCTGAAATATAGTCAGCTCAAGTCCATGAACCCCTCCAAGGAGAGCAAGTTTACGCCTGTTGTTGGCAACAGCCTTGAGCACTTTACACGCAACAGTGAGATGATTTAGCTCAGTTCCGCTCCCAATTTTAATGGACTGCAATCCGGGGGGGCGGTTCCGAGGGTCTGCCCCCTCTCTTCCCATACAACCAGCCTCTTCCCTACCACCAAACTCGATTTCACGTTTTAAAAATTGAGACTTCTTAATCTTTAGTTCTACAATACATATTCCGATGCAATATGTAAAACGCATTTTAATTTTTGGATTCCTGGAGTTTCGTTTTCGAAAGGAATAATGTTATCATTCATATACGTAGATTACTATAGTATTATTCTTTAAAAGATCTCGAAATCCATCGTAGACATATCTTTGGAAGAC